AAAGAAATTAACATCACCTGGCAAGATGGTTTGAACTAGAGGACATATAAGCAAGACTAAGTCACATTTTATGGACTAACCATTCCAATTATCTTCAGCTTTGTGTTAAATGATGATTTTTATACTAACCTTACCTATTCAAAAAGGTATACGACACACCAGTGCTTAAGCCACTACAAAAAGCGAGTACATAGAGTCATCCTAAGGAAAGTCGGCTATTGTGCCTATCAACTTAAGATCTTGGATTAAGTAGTTCTTTTTCAAGGACTGCCCTTTTTGACAGTTAGCCGCCAACAGTGTGTCCTCAACTCTCCTAAGCATTAGGGTTGTTGCATGAAGATAAGTTGAGTAACCGTAGAAATAATTTACAAAAGATGATAGCTAAGGTCAATATGCAACCAATTCTCATATGAATTACATTAAGAAGAACAATACCCAAAAGAGGTAGGAATATACGGTCCAATTTAAAATAATTAAGTCCATGAATAATTATGTATTATTTCACTGTAGCATCTCAAAAAACATCTTGAGAAACATCAACAACATTAACAATGTATAAAGTACCATCAAATGCTACACGAATATACCACTCACTGAATCATCCCCCGGCAAGTCTATTTGCCCTCTTCAATTTTCACTTCTACATTCTGGTGAGCCATGTCATAAGTTGCGTGAAGACCAACAAGCAGATAGTACCCTACCATTATCGCACTGCAAATAATAAACCTAAGAAATGCCACAAGGCCTAACGATCCAATAAGAAACACATTCATTGTAATCGACAAACATGGCAGCCAAGGAACCAAGGGAACTCCCCAAAGTCTTGGAAAACGCTGCTTTGAAAGAAATGCCATTCGCAAAGTGCCTGCCAACCAGAACAGTGTCACCACAGAGTATCCAACCCATCCTTTCTTGTTGGAATTCCAGAGCGCTGTAACTCCAATTGAAGCACCAATAATAACAAATAAACAAACAAGAAACTTAAGCAAATCATTCTTTGATGTAAGATCCGTCACATAATATCGCCTGAGAAGCAGTGCAACAGCCACAAGCATAAAAATGAAGAGTGTCGTAAATGACAAAACACTTGACAAAACATCCAAACTAGTGAAGAACGCGACAATAGCACTAAGTATTGTTGTCAACATGGTAGCATATATGGGGGTTCCAGTTTTTGGATGAACCAGAGCAAACCAGGGAGGAATCATGTGGGCTCTAGCAATTTGAGTTGTGTACCGTGCTTGTCCAAGAGAACCAACCAACAAGCTTGTAGTCATTCCTTTAAGTGCACATATACTGACTAAATACTTTGCCCATTTCATGCCTATTTGCGCAAAGGCAACTGAATATGCTGCATTTACATCAATTTCATTATACTTCACCATCATGACCAACGCTAAAGCCATCAAGCAATAAATCACAGTTATTACAGACATGGAACCAACCAATCCAATGGGTATATCCCTAGAGGGTCTTTTAGTCTCCTCAGCCATATTTGCCACCATATCAAAACCAGTATAAGACCAATAAACCACAGCTGCAGCAGTGAAAACCCCCTTTGCCCCATATGGAAAAAATGGCTCCAAATTTGAAGTTTTAGCATGCATAAACCCAACAACAATTATAAACACGATCACCATAAAAGTAAGAATAGAAGTAATCAAATTCAACCAAGATGTCCTTCTAGTCCCACTCATGGCTATCCCATTAGTAACCAAAAGCACCACAACCGCAATTGGGTCTAAGAGATTAAACCCTTCAGCTAAAGAATCCACCCTAATCCGCAAAAAATCAGAATTACTACTAATCATGCTAGCAAAATATGAGGTCCAGGATCGTCCAAGTCCCGCAGCACCTACAATTGCCTCTAAAAGAAGATTACCTGCAGCAATAAACGCTACAAAATCACCCAATTCCACTCGGAGATACGAAAAAGATCCACCAGCCACCGGAATCTCAGCCGCAAACTCCGTATAACAGAACACTGACAACAATGCGGAAATACCCGAAATCGCGTAGGACAAAACGATGGCGGGACCGGCGTCGTCATGGGCTTCCTGCCCCGTGAGCACGAAAATACCAGAACCGACGACCGAGCCGAAGGCCATCCACATTAGGTCCCACCAATTGAGGCACTTTTGCATTGGGTTTTCGCTCACCTTCTGGAGGGTGATAGTCTCGTTGTTCTCAGACGAGCGAGCCAGTAGGCGGTCTGAGAGGCGGGGGCAGGTCTGGGAGACTGCGGCTTTGTAGGAAGCCAGGTTCTGGAACGAGCTTTCGGGGAAGAAATCTTTCTTCCTCCATCTCCAGTAGCTTCTTGTTGACCCCGATTGTTGGGTTTCCGTCGGTTCATCCATGGGAGTGAATCAAAGGTAGCTGGGTTGGAGCTTGCAGGGAGATGGATGGGTAGACGAGATTCAAAGCATCACGTTGCAACTGGTTTACCTGAGAAATAATTCAATTGCTTACCCAGGCATAGGCCAGTCAGCCTAAGTAAGTTGTTTTTTTTAAACTCTTAATATCTTTTTCATTTTCAAAAAAGTTATTTTATA